TGACTGGGGCTCAGTTTGGGGAAAAGGGGGAGCTGGAAGAGTGCCAGCACGTCCCCAGGGGCAATGACACTCTTGCAGGACCACTGCACCTCTATAAACCTGGAAAGTATCAGAGCCGCTGAGGCAGCGGCTTGCAGGATGTAGGGACACCCCACAGTGTCACCAAGCAGCAGCCACACGCCTGTCCCTGGCATCTGTCTGGCGCCAGATGAGTCTGCTCAAGCTGCCGTACAAACCTAGAGGAGGGAGGAATGAAGGACTGTGGTGGAGATTGCCATTGTCCCAGTGGAGCAAGCACCTGGACCCAGAAATTAGAGAAGGAAGCCGAATGATAGCACAAAGTTATAGTTCTTTCTCTGCCCAGTTGGCAGTCAACAATTAACACCTGATGTATGCACACGAGAAAACTGAGGCCAGGGAGGATACCAGGTAGCCCAAAGCCTTCAGGCTAGTGCGGAGAGCAGGCAGGATCAGCCCAGAACCTTATTTGTGGGACTCCAGGCCCATCGCTGCCTACCTTAAAGTAGGACTTAAATATCCATCAAGAGGAACTGGTTTGGGGTTGGGAAGATAGCTCGGCTGTCTAAGTGCCTGCTGCCTAGCAAGGGCAAGGACCCAGGCTCAATCCCCAATCCCTCATGCCATACTAGCCACCAAAACGGCATAGTGACTTATGCCTGTAATCCCAGCACTGGGGAGACTGAGATACAAGGATCACTATAAGTCCGAGCTGCGTTGTGAGACCCTGTAAATAAATAAATAAATAAATAAATAAATAAATAAATAAATAAAGGACTGGTTTGAAGAGGCTGAGGCAAGAGGATCATAAGTTCAAACCCAGCCTGGGAAGCTTAATGACTTAGTAAGACCCTGCCTCAAAATAAAGGGTTATTAAATGGCTGGGGATGATGTAACTAAATGCAAAATCCCTGGATTTAATCCCCAGTGCTACAACAAAGAAACAAAAAAAAGAGGGACAGTTTAAATCAATATGGCAGGGCAGGAACAGAATGAGAAGGAGCCTTGTGTACCAATATGAAATGATCTTTAAGATCCACTACTAAGTGAAAATAATGCTTGTGCATGTATTGAATACAGCATGCAGGACACAGGAAGCAGTATATTGACTGTCCCCGAGGAAGCTGGGTATTGGGATGGGCCAGGGTAGGAAACATTCCCTGCAGAGCTCTCTAGACCTTTTGGGTTTTGAATCAAGAGAATTACTCTCTATTCAAAAAGTAATAAAGAGAGTAACAGAGAATCTCCTTGTTCAACTCCCTTAAATTCTATGAGAGACCCCCTACTGAGCAGCCATGTGTGCCAGGCCCCTGGTGGGACTGCGGGTTCTGCGTGATGAACAGGATGCTGTCTCTGCCCACCAGGAGCCCACTCACCCCAGGCAACCCTAGGCAGTAGGGTGGACGACCACAGAACTCCCACAGCTGCTGCCCTGTCAGCCAGCACAGGCTGGTGAGGGTGGGGGTCTGTCCAGGCCCAGCCTCTGTGGGGCCTGGTGACCGCTGGGCGGTCCGAGCTCCAACTCCTCAGTCCCACACTGTCCTTCCCGGCAGGCAGTGGGGTGGTGGGAAGCCCGAATCGCTTCCCTCCTGCCTGACATGGAAGACACACCTCACAATCTGCCTTTTCTTCTCCTACTCTAAGCACTTGCTGCTTGAAACCAGGGCAGTGGCTACTGTAAGGCACAGAGGAGCACTGAGCCCCCCGCGGAGGTCAGCCTGGGAAGGTTTGGACCCAGGAAATCCACCCTGGCGGCGTGCCACCCCTCCCTACCATCCCACTCGTGTGTTCCTCCACCCGGAGCAGGCAGCAGCCACAACAATGTGGGCATCTGCTTCCCGTCACTTGCCCAGCACCCATACTAGGTGTGAGGGGAACAGGGGGCCCTCTGGCCACACCAGGAAGGAATACCTACCCTGAGGTGATGCTATCTCACAGGGTGTCCCCAGACTTCAGGAGAGCTGAGTGACCCTGAGGAGGAGCCACAGGGCCTCAGGGTCTGGCTATATGAAAGCAGAGTATCCCAGAAAGCACTAGCCATCACAGATTCCCCACCTGATGCTGGGTGTACCTTGGAAGGGTGACAGGGCAGGGTTACCACATCCAAATACAAACAAGGAAACTGAAGCTTACACGTGCTATGAGACCTGCTCACCAGGTAGCTGAACATTCAACCCCATGTCCTGACTGTATCTCGGACTCTCCACAGTACTGTTGGAAGAGAACTTGGAGGTTGCTTTGCAGACACTTGCATTTTATAAATGATGAACTGAACTGAGGTCAGAGGGGGAGAGAACACACAGCACCAGAGACAAAGCCTAGTCTCAGGAACCTGGCCCTGGGCCCCTGTCTGGAGAAAGGTGGTTTAGTTGAGAGGATCTGACACCCTCTTCTTTATACTGTCCCTGATCTATCCCACTTTTCAGCAGTGGCTGTGAACTCTAGGCAGTGGCTGTGAACTCAGCGTCATCAGGGATAGGCAGGTAAGTCATCTCTGTGTCGTCTTGTTTATAGCTTTGCTGAGGTATAATTAGCAAATATATGTATTTGTCAATATATGAATTGTCTAGTGAATTCCAAGTAAATTATGTAGCATTATTAGCAACGGTCACCATGCCATACATCAGATCCTGAGAATTTGTCATCTTACAACTGAAAGTGGGTGCCCTTTGACTGCAGTTCCCCAGTCTTGGTGCCGGCAAGATAGTTCAGTGGACTAAAGTGACTGCTTAGGCAAGCACAGGGACCAAGGTTCGATCCCTGGCACCACATGCCTTGCCAGCCCAGAGGCCACACACAGCTCCCCAATCTTCCCCACACCACAGATGCTACCATCCACCTTTCCCCTATTTGCTTCTGTGAGTTCTCCAGTGAGTCCCTGAGGGAGGTGACCTAGGCCCGGAGCTCTAGGGCAAGAAGGCATGAAGACCTTGGTGTTGAATGGGGAAGTGTTTGCCCTACTCTAAAGGCATTCAAATCCAATGTTTTTGCTTTTTAAAATTTTCTTCTTAAATCTTCAATTGAAAATACACCAATATTCTCCGTGAGTGTCATTGTTAAAGCTGGGTGTTAAGTAATAGGGTTATTCATTAATACTGTACTGTGTAAATGTGTACCTATATTTCAAGTTCTATAATAAAGGTATTGTTTTAATTAATGTGCTGTTGAAAAGCTTACTGGCCACCAACTAGCAAACTGCACTCTAGACTTTGCTGAAGATCTCTCAGCTGCATCCCAACTCCGTGTGGATGGCCCGGGGTTAGGGGTGGGGACAGAGGAGGGTGGGGACACACCGGCTGGCAAGGGCTGGGAAGGCAACCTTCACTGTGGCAGATAGCATAAGCCCCTGGGCCTGGGGAGGATGCAGGGCGTGCGCGCACTGCCTGTGCTCCCAGCAGCTGACCGTCCCGGGGCCCACAGCCCTGTCTGCACACCTCTGTATCTGCCCGCCTTGCTTGCCCTCTGCCCTCTCACTGTTCCAGGGGAATCAAGCTGCACCCCATCTGTATAGGAATGTGGGACAGGAGGCCCCCACCTGCTGATTTCCATCAAGGCATCACGGGCAGGGCTGGAGGCACGAGATTGGGACAGAAGATGCAGACTTTCATTTTCTTTCTCCCTGTGCTAACCTAATTACCACTCACTGTAGTCCCTTTCCTAAACACCATCCTCCCAGTTTTTAAAGTGCTTCATAGAGCTGCAAATATACCCCAGTCAGTAGAGCACTTGCCTTAGCACGTGTGGAGTAGTGGGTGAGACTGAGGCAGGAGGATCACAAGTTCAAGTCCAGCCCAGCCTGGGTAACTTAACACCTTGTGAAGACCCTGTATCAAAGTAAGAAATTAAGAAAAAAAAAAAAAAAGCTGGGGATATAGCTCAATATGAAGGCCCATTTCAATTCTTTGGATGACAAAAAAATAAAGAGCTTCACACTTCTGGCATCATTTAATCACCCCACCCTGGGAAATAGATGTTATTCCCCATTCTAGACAGAGCGAAACAGGCTCCTCCTTATCTCTGTCCCAAATCACGTAGCTAATGGGTGTCTGATCCCCCTGTAGTGGGGCTTGGCAGCTCCTCCTGGGTCTAATGACTACGAACTAAGTTTCATTGAAACTTCTCAGTCATTCTCAATGATGGCAGGACACCTCGCTGGGCCGTTACTTAACTACAAGTATGTTGTGATTTTTGAACTGAGGAAGATGATAATGATACCCGACTGGATCTTCTAGGATATCAGTGTGAGTTGAGAAAATTTGGATTGCCCATCAGTCTGTGGAACGATCCCGACTCTCACCTGAGTGTGATGCAGAAAGTAGAAAGATTCCAACGTTGTCCATATGAACTAAAGACAGTAACGTTGGGTCTTGCATCAAATCCGCATTCTGCCTTCACTTGGCTGTGTGACCCAGACTTTCCCCTTTGTGGCCCTCAGACCAGCCCTCTGGCCGAGTTATCTGGCCTGCCAGCTCCCTGCACGGCAGACCTCACCCTCTCAGCAACCTCCAGCAGAAGCTGCCTCAGAAAGGACTGTTACTGCTACAGAAAGTACCTTAGACCCCTAACTAGGCCAGAAACTGAACACCAGCAAGTGACAGTGTCAGAAGTGAGCCACTTACTGGGAGAATTCAGCAGGCCAGTGCTGGACCCAGCCATCCAGCCCAGGCCTGCCCAAGGCTGCTCTGCAAGCCTTTCCTCGGTTAATTTGGCATGTTCTCCAAACACCAGTCAAACAATCTCCCTCCAGAAGCAGCAGCAGCAGAAGGAAACATTATTAAAGAGAGTCCGTTAGTGGGCATGGTGTGTGGATGAAGTCTTCGGAGTTTTGGCTGCCAAATAAAGACGTTATTGTTGTCATTCCTCCTTCCCCAAGCTCCCTCCCTCTCTCTCCCCTCCTCCCTCCCTTCCTTCCCCCCTCCTCTCTTCCTCTCCCTCCCAGCGATCTGCCCCTCCCTCCCCCTAACCTAACCTCCCCACCCCAATAGGATCCAGTGGAAGAAAAAGTCAGGCAACCACACAGGCACACACCACTGGGAGATCAGAACTTCTAGCTGGCCCTCTGCTGCCACAGCTCCACCAAAAGGGTGGGGAGGAAGAGGACTGACCCCGAGCCCAGAGGAGAGGCAGGTGTGCTCAGGTAAGCCAGAGGACGGGAGATTGGGAAGCCTTCTTCCTCCAGCGAGGTTCCTCACACCCTGCCCAACCTCGCTGGTGACCCAGTCTCTATCCTCTCGCTCCTTCCTTCCTCCACCTTTGCTTCCTTTCCAGGAAGCTCAGACGTGCTTTCTCTCATGTTCTCCCCTAGGCCCTCTCCCTCTTCTCTCTCCATCCCTCAGCAGCCCTTCTCACTGCTGAAGTTGAACTTTCTTGGTGTAGATGTCTGTTGTAACATGGGGAACCGTGTCACACACAGAATTTCCACAGATCAGGCATTGCCATAGTAACTGGACACCAGAACCTGCTTCCCTGCACTTTTCATGTATTGTCACACATAACTGAACACATACACGTACACACGCACACTATCCTGTCTCACACCCTCTCATCCCCCCCCCCACCACCACACCAGCTGTGAGAGCGAAGAGAAAGTGTATCTTCCCACTGAGAGGGCAGAGCCAGAAGGAAATCATGTGTGTGGAGTCCAGGCCAGCAGGGAGTAGAGGAACAAGAGCAGGAGCTGAAGGATGTCTTTGATCTTTCCAGCTTAATTGGCTAGGAGGGAGGAAAACAGCGGCTTTTCAACCTGCGCAGTACCTTCTCAGCAGCCTGAATTTCTTAGGTTCTCTGTCCAAGCCACTTGGCTTTTAGGAAGAAAGAAAAGAAATTAACCCAGCTTTCAAGTCCTGCAGGTCCTAATTCCCAGCTCTGGAGCAATTGGTTCTCTCTCTCTCTCTCTCTCTCTCTCTCTCTCTCTCTCTCTCTCTCTCTCTCTCTCTCTGTCTCCTTCCCTCCCTCCCTCCCTGTAGGCAGCCAGAAAAATTTTCTTTGAAAGCATTCTGAAATTAGCCCAACCATTCAAGCTAGCAAGGGGACCTTAGGGTAGAGGGGTCAGGGGGAGGACAGTTATTCTTTAAACCGTCAGAGAGGGGGAAATGAGGGTTTTACACCCTCTCCCCAGCTCATCTCTCTCCAGTAAACAGCAGGCAGGATGTCGCTAGGGGAACATTCCTGGGCATGGAGGGTATGGACATACCCTGAGGGGAAGGGGCAGTGTGGGGAGCTTGGAGCCCAGACCATCACTGCAGACCCATTGAGTGGACACAAGCAGTCACTCTGGGATCCTATGGGCCAGCCAGAGCCAGAGAAGCTGAGCCTGGCCTGGGAGAGGCCTTGCACAGTGTAAACCAGGACCTACAGTGCTCTCTGGACAGCAGCTGTGGGGAGGCTTTGAATGGGAACTCCAGGTGTCCCACCAGGAAGCCTTGGAGAGTGGAGTGAACACCAGAGGGAATAGGGAAGACCCTGCCCTTGTACACAGGCAGCTGTGTCACAGAGGAACTCCAGGCAGTTCCCACCAGGTAGCTCCAAGAGCTCCACCTACTAGCCTGCCTGCACCAGGGCCCTATCTTGACCCTTCTGGGTTCCTGAAGGTCTCTTGGAGTGGGGTTGGGCAATCAGTTCTTTAGCCTCTTCCCTACCCTGCAGAACAGCCCCAGTTACTGGACTTGAGCAAAACTCCACAAGACTGGGTGAACAGAAAAACTGAGTGCAAAAGGTTGGGGGACATCAGGAATCCCAGCAGGACTCTATAGTCAATATAGGAGGATTTGCCTTTGCTGGCCAACTCACCTTGCCTGCTGAGAAGGCTGGGTTAGTGAAATGGACAGAATCAGCCTTTCCTGGGTGCCAGGGTGTCTCCAGCTGGTTGATTCTGAGTTCCCAGTGTGGTCTCTCGCACCTCCGGCCCATCACAAGGAAGCACCCTACCTTAAAGACACTGGGTTGGACTGCCCTCGAGCCAGGATAAAAGGAGAAAGAGACTGAAATACCAACAATTCCTTAACATTCACTGACTGCTTGTGCACATTGGAATTCATTGAACCCTCTAAACAATCCAGTAAAAAGTTATTGGCAGGGGGTCCTAGGTTCAATCCCTGAACCCCCACCCCAGAAAGTTGTAACCCCTTTGATAGAAGGGGAATCAGGCTTGCCTAGTGACACCCAGCTAAACAGTTGCAGGGGTGGTGCCCAGATCTATAACCACCCAAAGCAGGGACAGATTCTTCTTAGCCTTTTTCAAGGGTTACAGGTGGTGATTGGGGAGGAAGGCAGAGAGGAAATGGAGGGCACCAGGCTGTCAGGGGGAAAAGCCTCTTGCTCCCTTTGTCCCCAGCTGTCAGAATGGAAAGTCTTAGGGCCAGGGAGATAGCTCAGTAGAATAAGTGCTTCCCTGGCAGTGCAAGGTTCTGAGTTTAATCTCTGGTACCGCAAAACAAACAAACAAACAAAAACAAAAACTGAAGAATGGAAAGTCTTGGCCAAGAGGACTTCCTTCTGCTTATGTCTTCCTTTTAGTAGACACTGGAGAGATGCATGTTCTCTTTACAATAGCATTACATTTATGCCAAGTGCTTTTTGAGCTGCAGCAGGCAAGGTGCACCTGGCTGGATCCTTGGCTAACCAAGAGGCAGAGGCCCCTGGTGTCCCTGCTTCCCACCATGCTCTGGGCTCCAAGCAAAGAGAAAGTGAGCAGGATGGCTGGCAGAAGTGTGGGCTTAGAAGAGAAAGAGGGAAAGGAAGAGAAAACCGCATCAGGATGTCCACGGACAGGGCTTTGGAGCAGGGAAGCTCTCTGGGCTAGGCCAGGAGGAGGCTCGGGGTGACAACTAGACAGGAAATCTGCAGCTAAAGCATTGCCAGCGCTCAGCATGGAGTAAGCCTGGTGCTAACACTGCCTAGTTCAGCGGGCCCCGCCCAGCGCCAGCGCCAGCCCCAGCCTCTCCACACACAACCGATTACTCTTAAATTGCTCCTAAGGACTTGACAAACCATCTGGTCCTCAGCCCTGTCCTGCCAGCCCTCGGATCTAAGCTTAAATGAATAAGGCAGACAGCCACAGCTGGGAAAAGGACTGCCTCACTTAGAGAATCAGCAACCTCTCCAGAGCAACTGCTCTTTTGTAAACAACTAAACAAGTCCCTGCCATTTGTAGAGATGTTTCACTCTATACCGTGCCTTCAAGTGCATGATCTCATCGGATCCTCACACAGATGGGGAGCCTGCGGCCCAGGGAAGAGAGTCAGAGGCAGGATTCAAGCCCAGATCCACATAGTTGGAACTGAAATTTTCATTTTGAGCTCCATTGGGAAATGTTCTTAAATGTAGAAAACTGTAAGTTAGGCCAAGAGACTACTCTTTCCCTCTATGAAGCAGCAGCTCTCTGAGAGCCACACACAGACCCTAAAGGACTGAGGGAGCTTATGACTGGAAAGAAGCTTCTAGAAAGTTCTGGATAGAGCCATGCTTTGGAGCAATGTGAGAAGAACTATTAGTCTTTTGGAGTCCAGGCACCTCCAGCCTGTCACTGGTGGTAGAGAACTAGGCTATCCCAGAGCACTGCCACAGAGAATGGCAGTGCAGTCAGAACTGCCCTGTGTGGCAGCCAAAGGAGAAGTAAGGGGTGTGGACCCTGAGAAAGCCTGAGGCATGCAAACTGTTTCCTGGTGCACTTTCGTACACAGACGCAACTCTGACTCAGCCTGGAGCTGAGAAGGAGCTGGGCCTGATCCAGATTCCCGGACACTGGATCCCTGCCCCAGGGAGCATATCTTGGGAAACCTCCTACAGGCCCTGGGAGGAGCTTGGCCAGCTCCTGAGGATGGAATGTGAAAGGGTCAAAAGGATGAGTGGGAAGATAGGAAAAGCTCCGGAAGGGTCTGGGTCCACTGTGCCTGAGGAGGGGCAGCTCTGTTGAGCAGAACTTTGAGCAGAACCCAATGCTGTCACCTCTGCCAGAGGAAAATGGGCTGCCCACACCTGACACAGTGAGGGAGCCACCCTGGCCTCACAGAGTAGGCTCAGCACCTTGCATGGGCTCTGGGTGACATGGCAAGCAGGGGAACAAGGACACCTGGGCTAGTGCTCTGCTGGATGCTAAGGTGACATTTCTCATAGCAGGAGCAAGTTCTTGCTTATTTCCAGACTTCTGAGTGATTAGAAGACAAAGATATCCAGAAAGAGAAAAAATTAGGGTCACCAAATAATTGGGGCTTTAAAACATGCTTGCTTTTACAATGTTAATGCTTTAACCAGCCCCTTAATTTATATGCAGTATGACTATGCTAGCTTCAAGTTTTGGTTTTTTTTTTTTAAGAGATAAGTATCAAAAAAAGGGGGGGCGGGGAGATGGCTCAGTAGGATAAGCGCTTGACTGGCAAATGCAAGGATCTGAGTTCAATCCCCAGTTCCGCCAAAAAAAAAAAAAAAAAGACAGAGAGATAAGTATTGCTATGTAACCCAGGCTTGCCTTGAATTCAGCCTCTTGAGTAGCTGGCATTACAGGCGCAGAGCAATTACAGGCCTTATAAAACATTAATTCATAATTCACTGATTATAAACGATATGAAGTCCATTAACAAGGTTCAAATTTAAGTTCTATAATCTTTTCAGTGCCTTCGGTGTATCCAGAGACTGTTAAGTTCTCCAAGCAGGTAAAGCCAGGGACCTAGCAAGATCCTTTGATGAAGACACAGAAAAAATGGCCTGTGAGACCCCTGTGGAAGGGCCTGCCTAGGAAAAGACCCTCCAGGGAAGAATAGGAGCATCTGGGGCAGTAAAGCACTCTGGTCCTCCGACCCTCCGTCCTTCCCTTCCTCCCTCTTCCTTCCCCAGCTGTGTACCACACAGAGCAAACATAAGGGACCCAAGGGCACGCACACAGGAGTCACACGAGTGTGAGTTTGCTTGTGTGTATGGGATGGGGAGGAGCGTAAAGTATATGTGCAAGAGTGTGCAGACCAAGGCCAAGACCGTATGTGTGTGTGTGTGTGTATGTGTGTGTGTGTGTGTGTGTGTACATGTGTGTAGGGGAGAGCTGTGCTGGGACATTCCCTACTTGTTTTGGGTGAGCACTGCCCTCTTTCCTGCGCTTTGTCCCATGCAGCTCCTCCTAAGCATTTCGGCCCAGGACTCAACAGCTCATCTGGGCTTCTACCCTCATTTGAGTAGCAACAGGAGCCAGCAGCAAAGGAACACCAAGGGAGGAAGGGAAGGACGTGCTCAGAGACAGCAGGAAAGGCAGGAGGCCTATATAACCCCACTCTGTCCTAGAGAACCCTAAGAATCCTGCATCTCCAACATCCCTGAAGTGCAGCACAGAGGTGCAATCCCCCACAATTGTAGGAAGGGCGCAAAGACAGCCAGTTGAGGCAGTGCAGAAAGGGGGATAATGGCTGGGAATGGTAGCTCCAAGGAGAGGACAGTACTGATACCCCATCCCTGGACTCTCCTGAACCCAGGCCCACGGAAGAAGCCTACGGAAGCTGCCACTCTGCATCTGCAGCCCCGAGTCTGTGGCTATTTCTCCCCTTTTGATTCAACTTCAGTCACAGGAACCTATTGAGGACACATCAGGGCAAATTGGAAGGACAACCCCAAAAGATCCCTCAGCTCCCTAGTCCAGCATCAGCCAGGCTGCCAGGAGGTTCTTCTCAAAACCTGTCTTTAGTAGCACTGACAGCAAAGGGTATGGGGAGCAGGAATAACAGGTCACAAGAAAAAAATGTGTTTTTTCACATCTTCTTAATCCTTTCCTGTGTATTTTCCCAGGAGCCTCCATGTCTGGGGAGAAATGCTTGGCTTGGCCGTGGCTGGCAGAGACCAACCTTCTCTGAGCCAAGCGCAGGGGGCAAGGGGACCCAGAACCTAGGCAAGTGGGGGTGGATGGGGATGTCTGAGCACCCTATTTCTACAGAAGCTCTATTCTGGAAGGCATGAGACCTGGCTTTCTGGTGGCTGTGAAATGGCTTCTCAGCCTTGGCAATCCACTTCTTCCCTCTCCGTCTCAGTTTTTGTAAACAACGGGGTCTGGATTTGCTGCGTGAATTTCAAACCATTTTTAGCAATGAAACTTTATCTGGTTCCCCCAAATGAATGCATTGGCTAAACCTCAATATATATATATTCCAGACCTAAAATAATTAGAGCTGCACAAGTCTGCACAGGAGTAGACTGGGGGTATCCCAGGGCCACTTCCTTTACCTCCCTCTCTGAGGAAACCCCATAAAAATGAAGGTACCACTCAGAAACTACATCATGCGTCTAAGTCCCTGCCAGATGTAATGCCCCAGAACCCTATGAGTGATTGATCCTAACACCCTTCTTATTATAAAGCCTAGGATGATTTTTCTGGCACAAGTCAAGAAAGGGGATGGGCTTCTCCAGCAAGCCTCAGGACTCCTGATTCCCAGACCAGAGAGCCTCTCTACCAGGACTCACACCCATTGTGTGGCTAGCAACCTCAGGCAGGGAACCAGAGCGTAAAGGTCTGTCCCCCCTCCTTCCCCAGGGCAGCTCAGAAGCTCTGCCCACCTCCCCTGGGGCTGGTCCTGGATGACTGGCCATGGGGAGACCTGCCATCTGCTCCCAATGTCCAGCAGGCTAACGACTGCCCCCATATCTCCTCCTACAGGAGCATCACCTGGATCATGAGGTCATTCTTTCGCTGGCTCCTCCCACTTCTCATCTTGGCCTCTATGGCCCAAGGCCAGTCAACAAGAAGACCAAGACCTGGGCCCGGGCGTAGGCCCCGGCCCAGGCCCAGACCCGTACCCACAGCCAGCTTTCCTCAGCCCCATGAGCCAGCAGAGCCCACAGACCTGCCTCCTCCGCTCCCTCCCGGCCCTCCATCAGTCTTCCCCGACTGTCCCCGGGAATGCTACTGCCCCCCTGATTTCCCATCGGCCCTCTACTGTGATAGCCGCAACCTGCGCACTGTCCCTGTCATCCCGCCCCGTATCCATTACCTCTATCTCCAGAACAACTTCATCTCCGAGTTGCCAGTGGAGTCCTTCAAAAATGCCACAGGCCTGAGGTGGGTCAACCTGGACAACAACCGCATCCGCAAGGTGGACCAGAGGGTGCTAGAGAAGCTCCCGGGCCTAGTGTTCCTCTACATGGATAAAAATCAGCTGGAGGAGGTGCCCTCAGCCCTGCCCCCGAGCCTGGAGCAGCTCAGGCTGAGCCAGAACCTCATCTCCAGGATCCCGCCTGGAGTCTTCAGCAAGCTGGAGAAACTGCTTCTCCTTGATCTTCAGCACAACAAGCTGAGCGACGGCGTCTTCAAGACGGACACCTTCCAGGGCCTCAAGAACCTCATGCAGCTTAACCTGGCCCACAACATCCTGAGAAAAATGCCACCCAAGGTGCCCCCAGCCCTTCACCAACTCTACCTGGACAGCAACAAGATTGAGAACATCCCCAACGGATACTTCAAGGGTTTCCCCAACCTGGCCTTCATTCGGCTGAACTACAACAGGCTCTCCGACCGAGGGGTCCCCAAGAACTCCTTCAACATCTCCAACCTGCTGGTGCTCCACCTGTCTCACAACAAGATCAGCAAAGTGCCCACCATCAGCAACAGGCTGGAACATCTGTACCTCAACAACAACAGCATCGAGAGTGAGTGGGGGGTCTTGGGGAGGGGGTGGATGCTCTGCGCTCATCCTCTTTTTCAGAAGCCTTAGGGTTGGAGGGTCCCAAAAGCATCCACTGCAGTAGAGTGCCTGCTCCAAGTGCGCAAGGCCCTGGGTTTGATCCTTAGCACATTTTGTTTCTTAAGTACGCACCTTGGCTCTGGACTTCAAATCTGGGTCCCACCACCTCTGTCTATCTCTGTGTGACCTTGAAAACGTAGCCTTCCTCCCCGGGAGTTCCCTCATCTGTAAGACAAGAGTGGCAATAATCCCTCCTGGCACAAAGTAGACAGGCGAGCGAGGACTCACTAGTTTCATATGGATGAAGCCTGCAAAACACCATGCTGGGAGGCCAGTAGTTCTCTTCCTCTGTCCCTTCTCATCAATGCCAGCGCCTTCAGCCCCTGGATCCACACACTGGGTAGACACAGGGTACACTCCAGCGCCCTCTGCTAAAGGCAAAACAGACACTGAAGGCTCACCCTGCCATGTCCTGCGCCTACCTGTCTCGAGAGCTGACGGCTGTGGAAGGGAACGTCTTCCCAAAGCTGAGCAGCAGTTTCAAAGCATCTGTGAAAGGGACCCCAAGAGACACCATACCAGATACTTGGTGTACCTAGCTGGTAAAAATGGGGCAGCTGGGAAAAACTGTGCTTGCTGAGCCTCTCGGGAAGGCTTGTGATATTAGACAGAACAGTTAAGAGAGGGTTTGCCTGGGCTACAGCGACAGAGTCCCAGGTTTGGAGTGTCAGTTGTTGCCCACAACAGGAGTTCTCCATTTTGCTGAGAGTCTCCATCTTACTTCAATCAGAAATGTCAGTTCTGAGCAGAGCACCAGCAGAAAGGCTCAGAAACAAAAGCAAGAGTAGTATCTGGTCCTTGAACAAAGCAGGGTCCATTCACACAAGCAGTGCAGCAGTGAAGGATGAAGGGGGCCAAGGGGGAGAAAAGGGCCTTGCAAATGAGGTTAAGGATCCCTGGTTTCCAGTCTAAAGAATGAGTTTGCTGAAATTTCTACCATCTAGAAACAAAGGAGCAGAACAGGCTGGTTCTCTTATCTGGGATAATTACAAGAAGTGGGGAAAGATTATTTTCTTTTAAATCTTGCAAGAAACAAATTCAAGAAAATACAAAAGCTATCTAATTTTACCCTGCAGGGAGCTATTAAAATGGAACACATTACCCCCAGGAAGCAGTGTGGGCTGAAGATACAGACAAAAAGGATACCTCAGTTAATCGATGGCTGGTATATCTACCAGATTGTGCAAAAAACAGGCTGCTGAAGGCTCTCTCAGCCTTTTGAGGTTGCACTCAGAAAAGTCGCACCCCACTGCCTGTACCCACCCCGACTCCCACAGCCTGACGCCACATCACCAACGGGATGGATGGGCTGAGGGGCCCCACGTCAGTGTGACAGTGATGCTCACTGTGCCACCCGTCCTGTTCTGTAGGGTTTGCAAACTGCCTTCATCACCAACGTTCTCTCCCTGATGTGTAGGGTGGGCAGGCTTCAATTTCACAAGTTAGGGAACAAGCATCAGGGTGGTAAGGCCCAAAGCCACAAAGTTCCCGTGGAAAATTCCACCTGGGTCAGGGCTCTTCTGCTGCCCCAGCAAGGAAGAAAAACAGGAGAGGAAGAAGAACGACAAGGGCGACTCCTCCTCATCTCCCTTCCCTCCTCTGCCTCCATGGATGATAAGGCCTAGAAAGAATTTTTTTTTATTTTTTATTTTATTTTGTGCTGTACCGGGGATTGAACTCAGGACCTTGTGCTTGCCAGGCAAGTGCTTATTCTACTGAGCTATCTCCCTGGCCCTTTCAATTTTAAAATGTGAATACAATTTAACAGAGGTAAACTCTAAATAGAAGACAATATAACTGATGTCTAATGGGAGGTGAAGGAAAAATGGAATCCCAGGTCATTTTAGGATCAATAAGCTTGTCATCACCCTATCTTCTCTCTGCTTCCTGTCTTCTCTATGTCAGTTCATGTGACCATCTTCCATCCTTCATGCAAAACATCTGACCTGAGGGAAAACTCCAGAGTGATTCTCACAGCCACCTGCTGGCTTCGAATCCCACTGCTCTGCTGCTTCTCCACACTTTGCTGGATTCATCTTTCTATACTATAAATTTGATTGTGGGGCTCTAACCCAGACTCAACATTGTAGGATGCCACTGTTCAGAAACCCTGCGGGCCTGCCCACTAGCTCAGTCGTTTAAGTGCCTGCTTCAACAGATACCCTAATATGTGGTTCTCCAGAGTGAACTGCAGTAACAGTTATTGATCATTTCTAACTTAAGTTACTTTACAAATGAAGAAACTAAGGCTGGAGGCTAGAGCAACTCGTCAATGGCCACACATGTTCAAAGTCATCCAGTTCCAGAGAGAACTCTAGAGTCTTCAGTCTTGGTTGTCCTTCCCCTCCCTTCCCTCCTCTTCTCCTCCCCCGCACCCTGCCACTGACTTTCTTCTTCCCTTGCAGAAATCAATGGGACACAGATTTGTCCCGGCAACCTGCTGGCCTTCCAGGACTTTTCCTCAGATCTGGAGAACGTGCCACACTTGCGCTACCTGAGGCTGGACGGGAACTACCTGAAGCCCCCCATCCCGCTGGACCTCATGATGTGCTTCCGCCTGCTGCAGTCTGTGATCATCTAGGCCCTGCCCTGGCTGGGCCGCTCTGACTGCACTTGAAGGCCGGTGGCCCAGGTGCCTGGCCCACCATCTCTCTCTCTCTCTCTCTCCTTTTATTCCTCCTAAGCCTCTCTTATCTCCCCTTTCCGAGGACAGAAAAGGCCATGTGCTCTGCTGCAGCCCTGGAGCAAGATTTCTCAGGGCTTAATTAGGCCCCACCCAGTTCAAAGGCACCCCCTGCACGCATGCCCAAGCACCTGGCCTTCTGTGGCATCCCTCTGCTACAGAAACACAGATGACTAAGGACTTCACATCCTTCTCTCCTCTTCCACGTACCACTCCTGGGAAGGCTGGGCCATGCACTGACATCTGATCTTGATTCTGGCCAAGCATGAAGCAGAAGATGGTTCAGGGAAGCTCACAGCGCCCTTCTGAAAGGCCCTCTGGAGAGGCCCCAGTCCTAAGCAGCTCTGCCTTAAAGAGGCTGAGACCCCAGGTCTCCTCAACCAAGAATCCCTTCTTCCCAAATGGTTGCTCTGTCACCCTGCTTCCAGGCACTGCACTGCTGTCTGCCAGCTGCATTCTGCAGGAAGGAAGTGCAAGAGGTGGGGCACAGTCTGGAAAGCCCTGCATCTGGCCACCTCTGCACAGGGAAGAGTTCGAAGCCCTTCCTCGTCCTTTTCCAGGGAAAACATGGCACACATCCTCCTGGCTGGGCCTCAGAGAGGAACAGCCACTGTAGAGAAGAGCCACTCAAGGAGCTAGGAATTAGCTGGAAGGAGAGAGTGGGTGGAGGGGGGTAGAGTCCCAAAATGGGCCCATACTATGGGTGTGGATGAGGCAGCAGAGCCCCTCCCTCAACTCAACAGGAGGCCTGAGGCCCTGGGGAACACAGTGTTCACAGTGGAAGGTCAGGAGGCCCAGCCCCACCCAACCATCTGTTTTCTGTTAGTGTAGATGGCCCAGTCATTTCCACCAATAACAATTCCCCACCCCCACGGGGGTGGTCTTAGAGACAGGGGTGGAGCACCTGGAAATCTCCCAGAAGTCTCTTCTGCTTGAAAATTGCCCTATCTCCAAGTCAGACACATCAGTGACACCTGGTGGTTGCTCAAAGTCACAACTGATCCAGTCTTCTCACCTTGCCTTTGGGGTGATGTTCCAAGGCCAAGAAGCTAGTGTGGGGACTCAGCTTGGAAGAGCTATGGGTGATAGGTATGACACTGCCCTCCTCTAGAGTACAAAGGGTCAAAAGCCCACAGCGAGTGAGCACAACTGGGGAGCTTGCGGGAGCCTAGACGCAGACACAGCTTAAACTTGACCTTGGCAGGTCCCTTCTACTGTGAGCTCCCACATATGTAAGCCCAGACTGAGGTGGCTCCTCTGAGGTGACCCCAGCACTGTGGTTCAAGTATGCCGACCTTCTCTAAAGCATACCCTGATGCAAAACAAGTCCTCACAGTCATCCCTCCCCTGCAGTAACTTATGGATGGTCTCCCCCCAGAGACACTTCTCTGACCTTCTCACCTGGCCCTGGTTAGCAGCTCGGCAGGTCTCCAAGTGGAACCCTCCTGTCACCCTTACCTTCTTCTTGGGGGTGCTGCCCCTCCACAGTCCCCTGGTGTATGTGTTGGTGCAGAATACTGGAAGAAGTTTCTAGAAATGAGTAAGACACAGTACCTCCCCTCAAGTTAGGATGTGAGATGTTCCAGAAGCTCTTAAGAAATTGGATTAAACTGGGCCCTCAACGTCAAGAAATTCCTATCACACGCTTGCTCAACTTTCTCTCCTGCTAAATATAGAGCTGTGCCCACTTCACCACAGCCTCCGGCCGCTGTTGCTGGTTTCTCCAAGGCTCCTGCTTAAAGTCAGTGCATTAGTGTGGCTGTAAGCAACCTGGTGCTATGCCTGGATAAACCCCTTTCTGCTCCTTCTTCACACCTAAAACTTCAATCCTTCTGACACGGCCCTTGGGCACACCCAGCCCCTGTGGCTCTCCAGGGGGTCTGGTCCTGCAAACCTAAACACTTTGTTTCAACAGCCACGTGGTCACCATTATCCCATTGCTGCATCCAGAATAAACCTGCTTGCTGCACTGCTCCCTGCAGCTGTAAGTCGTTGGGGTGTGAGCCAAAGTGGCTTTCCAGGTACCTCCACCCCTACACACATGCACACATGTACACACACACACACACACACACACACACACACACACACAGAGCGCTGATTTCTTTTGGGTTTTAGAAAGCCCTTCTGTCTGACACAAGTTCATTCCATCAGTGCTACTGGCATCTGCATATTCCGGTCAGTGCTTCGGGCATGTACAGGTTCAGGTGTGCAAGCAGGTGTGAACATGTACTCCGTACATGAACCTATTCTCTTGCAGACCATGTTAACTTTCCCATTTCAACATGCTTCACAGCAGAGGAAATAAAGTAATATGAAAATAACTCTCTTGAACTTGACAGTGTGAATAGGCCAGCAGTAATACCTTAAAGTCATCTTAACACCCAGCCCTGCCCACTTCACCTCTTTTTTTTTTTTAATTTATGTATTTGGTACAAGGTCTCACTATACACCTTGGACTCGCAGTGATCCTCCTGTTTTCAGCCTCCCCAACACTGGGATTAGAGGCATGTGCCACCACTTCCGGACTTGGTGGCCAGCTCAGCACTGGGAGGGACAGGTGCAGCTTGTGACACCAGGGATCAAATCCTGGTCCTTGTGCTTGCCAGGCAGGTGCTTAGACCCCTGAGCTATCTCCCCAGCCCATCCTCACCTCTTATTTGTACTGGCAAGGACAGTGAAGAAAAGATTTTATTCCTAAGAAACTTCTAAGAAAGTTATCCCAAAACCTTTTCTTGGAAAAATTTCTCCAAAATTCATAACCCTCATGAAAAATTGTTCTTTTGAAGTCAGGCCAGAATCTAGTAGTTACATTTGAAGTCCCCAAGCCCCAGGTTCTTTCGCCCCACTGATATTAATTGTCAAGGTTCTCCCAGCTCTCAGTACCAAGGTGAGTGGGAAAAGACCCAGAACAGTCACCTTCGCTGACCTAGTCCAGCTCAGATGCATTAGGAGGACGTGGAGTGCACACAACCCCGGGAGAGAACAAAGAGTCATTCACGTGGAGTGGTCTACAGGTCACACGGAAGATCAGAAAAGACAAGAACAGGGCACCCGGGCTCTCCCCTCTCTCAGAGCAGCGACGCCACCCTTGGGCCTACACCACCACCCTTGGGCCTGCACCATCTTCTGCAGGATGTAAACTGCCCAGCGAGGCCCTTACCCCACCCACCCTGCCTGCTAAACACCTGCCCGGGTTCAATCTAGCAATGGCTCGGTGATCACTGACCGCATGCCAGGCTCCCGTCGGCACTACAAGGATGGCAGCATGCGCCCCACATCCTTGAGGAACTCGTGACTTCACAGAGGGGGGGAAATCTGCAAATTTGTATTTCTGTTTTAAGTGTTCACAATCATGCTGTGTTGTACAAACAGCATAGAGGAAGGGGCCTTTGCCACCGTCTGAGGGTCAACTGGAAAGGCTCCTGTCATTTTTGTTGGTTCCTAGGAATGAACCTAATCCTTTCTGACTGGATAAGAGAAAAATCCCATGACCAGGAGGGAAAAAAGGAGAAGCCAAAAGAGAGGAATGCTGGGGTCTGCCCTGTGGGGAGTCTGTCTTAGAAAAAGGGCTGCCTTCCCATCCTGGAGTTATGTAGCTACCAGCCCTCAGCAGGGAAGATACACTGCTGTCCAAAAAACAGGAGGGTTCCCAGAATTTCCATAGCTGGGGCAGAATAGGGTCGGCTGGCTGGGCTTCTACCCACACCAGCTGCCACCTCGGTTCCATCAGCACGCTTTGAGTCTCTCCTAATGAGATAGGATTAGGATGCCCTGCCCCCAGCACGCACACCTCCACCCGCCCCTCTGCAGGCTCTGGGAGCAGAGCTGCCTGGAACAGCATGCAGCTCACTGGTTCCCACACAGGTCACACTCGTTCACTTGGATACGGCCTGAAATCCATGGAACAAGCGTGTGCAACCAGCAAGCTTGCAAAAGCAAACATGGGAGCCAGGAGAGGGCCTGCACCAAGGTGGCTCCCAGGCAGGACTGGGAGATGGGGAGGCTGAGGTGCAGGATGAGAAGGGCAGGAGGACCTGTGGCAGGGCAGCAGGCATAACCAGGTGCTGCAGGGCTGTGTCACTGAGGGTGGTGGGGCAGGTGGTGGGAATGAATGAGCAGTTACATTTGCATTCCTCATAGGAGCAAATGGCCTGAGCTGGGAGGGGGACTCACTGCCAGGCCGGCTGTGGGGGTGGAGGGGCCCTGGCTGCAAGCCGACTGTGGGGGTGGACAGTCAGGAGAGCAGCCGGCAAGCCTGCCATCTGCCCCCGGGTGGCCCCCCTGGCTCCAGGCCTGTCTCTTCTCAGGCCAACAGAGTCCCTGATAGCAGAGCTCCCGGGGCAGTGGGTAACCCAGGCAGGGCACAGGAACGTGCCTACCCCACTGGTTCTCACGTTGTGGGAAGGTCCCCACCCCCAGCAGCAGGTACCCCTTGGGGACCTGCTGAGTCTGTGCCTTCACCTGGAGCTCCAGGCACGAGCTGTGCTCTGCCAAAGCCATCTGTTCTGAGGGCTCGGGATGCCTAGGAGGAGGGGGAAAGAAAGGGAGTCAAATGAACACAGAAACCTCTCTGGCCTGAGACTCAGGAGATCTAGGTGTCGGCCTTGGCTCTGTTACCTTGAGCAAGTCCTCCTCTCTCTTGGCCTTCCTGGGTCTCAGTTTCCTCCTCCATACAAGCAGGGGTTTGGACTAGGTCACCCTCAGGGAGCTTTGCAGACAGGACTCAGGAAGTAGACAGCAGAAAGAAGCAGGGCACATCGCTGGAGAACTTGGCCAGAGAGGGGGGTACACGCCAGAATCTGGGGAGACATTCTAGACACCCTCACCCCAGCCAGCCTGACACTCCAAGGGAAACAGCATTTCTCCCAATAAACAAGTCTCCCTGCTTCCAGAGGCTGCTGCCCAAGGCCTCTGACCAGAAAGTGCTTTGTAGATCCCAGCTCCACTGTCCAGGGCCTTCCTCCTAGAGGAACTAGAGAACTCCGACACCCTGCTCTGTGCATTTCCTGGGAGCTTGGCCTTCAGTCCCCACCCTGCCCCTTGCTCATCTTCATTTTGCTTCACCTGTACCTTCCAACCCTCCCTCCAGTGATTTTGTTCGATATAGTTCCTTTGGGGGCTGTGGGTGGTGGGACTGGCTGATGCCTCAGTTCAGCCTCCTGGAGCTTAGGATTGCATTACTGAAACAGAGCATCATCATCTCAGGGAGACATTAAACAGCCAGGAGGGGAGCTCTGCTTTTCTATCGCCTCAATCCAGCCTTCCCAGGAGTTCAAAATCTGAGGGGTGAGGATTCTCCCTCCTGCCTTTCAAAGACTTGGCCTTATTATTAGGAGGGTGGATCGGAAAGAGAGTAAGGGAAGGACGCCAGAGCAAGGAGAGGGAGAGAGCAAGGATTCCAGTTCATCAAGCAGAGGAATGCAATAGACGCCCTCTGAGGAGAGAGGAGGGGAAACAGCAGGATCAGAGAGAGTGACAGATCTGATTGGACAGTCTACCCAGCTTCTCCTCCATCCTCCAGCCAGCTGCTGCTGTCTAACCCCAGTCCTAGTACAGTCAGCAGGTCCATCAGAGTCCCTGCCTTTCTGGAGGCTGCTGGGCTCCATTTGAGAGCCAAAGCATCTAAAGGTAAGGCGCAAGGTTGGAGGCCTTAGGCCCACTGGTGTGCAAAGGTTTAAAGATCGTGTAGTTTGGCTGGGAATGGAAGGTGAGGTGAAGAGACACCTCTGCTGAGGGCCCACCTCTGGGCCCCGCTAGAGTGAAGAAGTAGGAAGACCGAGCCGACACAGGTGCAGCTGGCAGTGAGGAAGGGGCATTATAAGGCACACACTAGTTATGCCTGTGTGCCCGCTTGTCTCCACCCGCGTGCGCAGATGTGGGGGAACTGCATGAACACTCATATTCGTACACACACAGCATATGTGCATAGTCTCTGGGGCATACACACAGATTTACATTTATCTAGGGACATTCCCACAACCACACACAAAGGACTGTCTTATTTCTATAGTCATCTGTTTCTAAGAAGCTGCATTTCCAATTCAACTTTAAGAAGCTGTATTCTATTTTCCATATGTCAAATTGTAAGTCATCTCCAGATGGACTAAGCGTTGCTGAGAAGGGACCCCTTGTTCATTTCTGTCCTCCCAGAGGCAAGTTCAGTGCCCAGAACTACATTGGCACCCCGTGTTTGATGAGCAGCAAGCCTATGCCAGGTGTCTGCATGCATCGTGGCATGGATGCCACTGTGCCACAGGAGGAGGGGCTGGGGACATCTCTAGGTGAAACCCTAGCTTTTAGGAAGCCTGTGGGTGGGGTGGGGTGCTGAGTATGATGAATGGCAAGAGGCTGCAGGGGTACAGGTGGGAAGTGGTGTGGGGTTGAAAGCTGTCCCCACCAAGCTTGAGAAAGTTCAGGCAGCTGCCCTTTCTCTTGCCCGCCACTTAGGACCTGGTGTTCCCATCCATGTTTCCTCCCCCAGGACCCTCATGAGGCTCACAGCTTTCCTGAGTGTGCTAAGCCTGGCGCTGCAAGAGGCGGGGACAACCTCTGCACCACAGGCAAGGAAGAGGAGCGAAGAGTCGCACCACAGCAAAAGCCTGAGCCTGGATGATTTCAGGGAGGTCAGTGACCTGAGAAACCCTGAGGACTGTGAGAGGCTCATGGACTGCGGGGACCATCTCCCTGAGGTGAGGGACACGGCAGGTTGACTACATGCCCTGCAAGAAGCGGGTCGGGCCAGTCCCTTTCCACCTGTCCTGTAGTGCAGGTCTCACAAGCCTTCAGCTCTTTCTCTATCTAGAGTGCAAATTCTCATTGCTATTCTTGCATAGGAACTTGTCTCTAACATGATACTAAGAAAGAGGGTGCAAATCTCCAATGTCTTGACCCATTTGTGGCAAAGTTGGTGGGTCACATATCCCTCAAAATGCCACCAACAGGATCATAAGCTATGTCGCATTAAGGCAAAGATCAACCGTGCCCTCAAATTCTGCCAAGAAAAGGACCTGCTACCCTAGCCCAATGTCTTTCCTTAGACTGCCAGTGGAAGCTCCTTGTGGCTGTTGCAGGAGCTAAGCTGTACAGCCTCTGTCCAGTGCAGGATGAGCTGGGCTGGTGTGGAGCAAGGGGTGAGCACCAGCCTGGGGAATCCTGAGCACCAGCTTTAGCTCTGCCTTGCTGCCTGTTGGTTCCTGAACCCTTGCCCCTTCCCTCTCTGGGCCTCAGCTTCCTCCTCTGCATAATGAGGGCTCTGGGCCTAACACACTCTGAGTTTTCTTTCTAGCTTAGACTTTTTGCTCCACTGCCCTTCTTCCTTGTGGTGATGCTACAGTTTGAAATTGGTCTTAAGGTTCCCAGAAAAAGTTAAATCCTTCTCAAGTCCATACTGTGTGCTGTCTCCAGGTTAGAACAACCAGCCTAGCTCCTCCAACCAGGATCAGTCCCTCTGAGAATTCTATAGCCACAAGAACAGTAACCTCCAACCCCACGATGAGCAGGCCTACTTTGACAACAATGCCAGGCTTACTGGGCTCCCCAACCAGCCAAAGTAAGTACCCCACCAAGTGGTCACAATATCCATTAGTCGTAGGCTACCAGGCTATGATTCTGAGCCAGAGGTTACCAGAGTGGAGTGTGGGCATGGCTAAGATTGGCCTTCATCAGAAGAGAGACAAAGGGAGAGAATCATGGTAAGAACAGAGAACACTATGTGCACCCGTGTTTAATAGCAGCACAATTTGTCACAGCTAAATCCAACCCAGATGGATCAACAGAAGAATGGATAAAGAAGATGTGGTATTTTTACACAATGAATTATTATTCAACTATAAAACAGGATAAATTTGAGTCTTTTGTCGGTAAATGGATGCAACTAGAGAACATACTCTTAAGTGAGATAAATCAGACCCTCATGTGCAAACATTGTATTGTCTCTTTAGTGTGAGAACCTGAAAGAGAAAAATGGAATCTGAAGGATACAATAGATACTGGGAAGGGAATGAACTTATTCAAAAGGAAAGAGTTACTGAGTTGAGAAGGACAGAAGAGGGAGTGGGATAAAGAGATACATCTATGTATATAAATAAGATGGTTTAGACAACTGTACCATGAATTTCTGGTCTATGGAAAGGAGCAGATAATGCTTAACTTGTTTTGTCTCCTTTTTTCAATTGTTTGTACTTTTTCTCTTCTTAATTTCTTATATATTTCTCTCTTTTCTTTCTTCCGATTTTATATGTGTATATCTGGTAATATGAATAACTGGTTGGAAGACAACACTGTATTACAACCAATACTATGAAATTCATATTACTTTGTTAAGTGAAATTCTGTATCACTTGTGATTTTTTTCTGTTTTAATTCTAATTTGTACTCTTTTAGAAAGAAAAAGAACAGAGAACAAAAACCCAAAAGGAGAGGCTGGCTCTTCCCAATATTTCTGTATGAATGCAGACTTGGATAGGAAGCAAAGCAACGCAAGAGCTCCCCTATGCCCCAGCGAATCACCCTCCCTTAATTAACAGCATCACTCGGGAAGCAGGTTGAGTGGTAATTAGATTAGAGACAATTAAAAGCCTGTAGAGAAGAATGAATAACTTTGTGGCTGTCACTTGGCATGGGGGCAAGGCAGTCGCACAGCTTCTAACATTAAATTTTCCTCCCTAGCAGCTCTCTCTCTTTCCCTGGTGCCTTCCTGGAGGCAGAGCAGAGAGGGCTCAGTACTCTGCAGGCATCAGGAACTGGGGCAGGGGAGGAGTGTGATGCACTCTGGACTTGCTGGCACTCAGCATCCCCGATGTCCTCTTGCCTGGGTAGAGCCAGGGTTGGGACATTCATTCAGAGCTAGAGTCTGGCATCTTTGTGGTCTCTTGAGACCACAAAGGGCCTTGCTGGACCTGCTGAGTGAGGCCCAAGGGTAAGATGGGAACACCCCTCCGCCATTCACTTCACCTGTTCATTGCTGCCAGAAAGGAGCTGTGTCCTTCCTGCAGTGGGGCTAATGCTGGTCACTTAGGCGCCTGTGACAGCATGGGACAGAAGCTCCTGCACTGCTCATTTCTGTGAGCCACTGAAGTCTTCCCAGTTTTTTACAGCCAGTCTCTGACGAATGGCCAGGCCTTGGTCTCATGACTGGGCTACAGAGATGAGACCATAGCCTGACACAGGGGAAGGCTGTTTCCCCCCCAAAAAAAGTGGATGCCAGTGCTAGAAGGGGAAATGGAGACTGGGCAGGCATGGTCCTCTCCACCGTGGTTTAGTTGTGCTTCTTGGAGCCACACAGACCGTGTCTTACCCCTGTCCCCAAGGCAGCTAGCAGAGCCACTCCCCCTGGCCATTACACTTCACTGTGTTTTATTTCATCCTTACCATATTGTTTTGGACCAGAAAGGATCCCTATGAAAAAGAGACTGAGAGCCGAAGCCCTAGAAACATCCACACAAACCCATGAAAGCCTACAAGAGACCAGGGATTGATGGCAACAGTAAACCTGATTCTTATAGCGATAGGAGTGAATGACACCCTGAGGTCAGCCAATCGGTTCTGGCCCATGTCACATGCCGTGAAGATGACCATGGCGCAGACACTCCCCAGGACGAGAGCCACTGGCCACAGCAGCTGCAGCAAAGCCTGACCGGGGCTCCCCCTCTGTTGTGTCTTCTACCTGGCTCAGGCCTGCCCACTTGCCTAGTCTGTGTGTGCCTCGGTTCCTCCGTGTACTGCGATGACACTGACCTGGAAAACGTTCCTCCTCTCCCCCGGATGACCACTTACCTGTACGCCCGCTTCAACCGCATCAGCCGCATCAGGGCCGAAGACTTCAAAGGCCTGAGTATGCATGCCTGATAAAAGGGCCAGGCAGATGCAGTGACCAGGGTCCTTTCCCCTGCACCCAACCAGATACTGCTAGCCTCAACCTGTGTCAGCTATTCCCTGTTAGAGCTGTGTCCTGTTGTCAAGGATAGAGGCCCCACAGTCTTCTTCCTTTCCTTGGAAAGGAAAGTGGAAGTAGCCTGTTTTCTCCCAGAGCCAGGAAGGGAAGGTGTGATGAAGCTAACATTTTCAGGATGTCCCAGAAACTATGTAGCTCTGTTGACCTCTAGACAGGACCATTCTAAATCTCCTCTCTGGGCCCAGATGCTATGGGCTGACTATTCTGCTATTTTATTTTTTGCCTTTTTGAGACAGGGTTTCACTATGCAGTTCAGGTAGGACTTTGTGGCCCTGGATGGCCTCAAACTCTTTGTGATCCTTCGGCCTCAGCCTTCTGAATGCTGGGATTACAGGCATGCGCCACCACACTCAAGTTCTGCTACTTTAGATATGAGATCTTGATAGTACTTTAGCTTCTACCACTAATTACCCCCATCCTTGCTGGGATTTGATGCCCTTTGTTTAAACTAATGAGTGGGGGATTGTCCAGGGATTCTGGGCTTTTTGGCTTTTGCCTGTGAAAGGCTTCTTCCAATTAGATGCAAGGTAGACAGCTACAACCCAGCACCAAACTTGAGTGCCAGGTACTGAGGAGTCTGACAGCTTTTCCGAGGGGGCTGGATTTGGACTATTATTTTCTCTGGCTTGGACCTTGTGTAGGCAGACATAGTTAAAGTTTCCTGATACTGAGGGGGTGGGGGAGGGAGGGCTGTGTGTTCCAGTACCCCCTTATTCCCCGTCCCCCAGCAAAACTGAAAAGGATTGACCTCTCCAGCAACTCCATCTCCTTCATCGATGACGATGCCCTCCACTCGCTGCCAGCTCTGCAGGATCTGATCCTGGCAGAGAACCAGCTGGCAGCTCTGCCCCTGCTGCCCAGTGGCATTGAGCTCCTGGATATCCGCCTGAATCAGCTCCGGAGCTCAGGGATACAGCCTGGGGCTTTCGAGGTGAGTGTGCCACTTACCACCTGCCCTCAGGATCCCATAGGGCTCCCTGCCCCGTCCTTGTTCTGGGGCTTAGCAGTCCAGGCCTGTGCTGTGCTTCCCTTTCTGTGCTTGCTTACGAAAGGTTCTCTGGGCTGCCAGTTATTTACCTGGCTCCAGAGCAGGGCTGTTTCCAGTGCTCAGCACCAGCCGTCTCATGAATGGAAAGCACAGCACTACCAGGCCTCCGGATCTTGGGAGTGGGAATGGGCAATGGAGGGGATGGACCCAGGATCAGCAGCCCTCCCTCTCCCGCTGTGGGCCTTGCAGTCCCTGGTCTTAGCTTCTTTCCCTGCACCCGCTTTACAGTTCACCCTCCATACACCAGCATGCTTGGGATACCCTCAGGCTCTGCCCACCACGGAAACCCCAGCTTGCCCAAGGCTTGGCTTGCAGTTGCATGGACTCTGTCCCAATTGCTTACCAATCATTTTGTTTCCCAAATCTGCTGCTAGGTGACTGAACTTTCTCAGTAGGATCACATTCTCAAGAGAGACAATGAGAGAGAGAGAGAGAGAGAG